AAATATAATGAAGTGATCATCATTGTAACATTACAAGGTCAACAGAATGATAAAGAGGAGATTTATCTCCTGGGCAAGCATTCCATGAGGGTTTCAAAGAGCCAAGTATGGGAGGAGCTTCTAGGGACAAGGTGCTTCCCGGGGTTCCCCTGCTGTAGAACCAAGGGCAAGGGCTAGATCAGGATGCAGGGGAGGGATCTATGCAAAATATATTTCAAAGGTCTTGATGACTCCCTGATACAGAGGATGAAGGAAATATGGTTAAGGATAAATTCAAATGCTTCAAAACAGAAACAAGTCCCAGCTTTTCTTCTAAGTTGCCTTGGTCATGGTGTTTTACCTCAGCAACAGAAAAGTGCGCTAATACACTAGGATCCTCAAAAGCTTATGAGGAAAAAAAAAAGTGCAACAGTGAAAAGGGCTCTGATGAAGTTGAACAGCCAGTAAGTAGAGCCCCAGGCAGTTGGCTCCTTATCTTGCCAACTGCACTATGCATATGGAAGGAGGCAATCTCCGTGAGAGGAAGGTCTTTATGACTAGTACAAATGCTGAGTGCCCCTGGCATTCTCAGGCAGCTCCGTTGACCTTCCACCACACCGTGAAACTGGCTGCCCCCTCCCATGCAGCGACCAGGGTGACTCTGAAGAAGAGATGAGGCAGAGTGGAAAGGGAAAAACAGAGTGTTCAGGACGGTGGTGGAAGGCTGGCCTCAGGCCGGGTGTCACTGCAAAGGAAAACTGCTAATTCCGACAGCCAGAAAGCCAGACAGACAGACAGGAAGGCCTTAAAAATCTTTACCAAATTGCAGCACTTTGTTCTGAAGCTATTTCAGATGTGCATATTTATCCATATTTATCCATATATTAACTCCTAGCACAGTTAAGCATATGATTAAAACACAAAATTTTAAAATGTAAAATGTTGACTACACAAATTTAAAGCTCATTCAGCAAAGGCACCATTCATTGCTGGGACACACCCTGAAACCCTTGACTCTCCAAGAAGTGGGTGAAATGAACACAGGCTGCAGCTATCAAACTTCTCTTACTACAACAATGCTCCAGATCAGAATTATTAAACAAAAACAAGTGGATTTAGGGAAATCCAGTTCAGTGTGCAAAATCCAGGGTGGTATCTCATCTCGGTTCAGTTTTAGCAAAAGCTAATCTCTCTTAGTTAGAGGTGAATGAACTTCTCTAAAGAAAGATACATTATCCTGCCTCCTACACAAGTCAGAAGGGTTACTGTCAAACTTTTGAAAGGTTAACATCACAAAAGAAACAGGTGTTCTGCGAAATCTTCCAACATCCTTCTCATAACATCTCAGAGTAAGAAAGAGATCAGAGTCAAAAGAAATCCAGGGGAAAATGGTTACAAATAAGTGTGTTGAGCATTCTTGCTCAGACCCCTCTCAGGACAGTCAAGGGCCTAGTTAGAGCTATGCCAAGACCAAGTCATCAGCACCCAGCCACCACCCCACCCTCAAGAGGCTTCCTGTGGGCTGAGATGCTCCCCTTCTGCAGACCGAAAGGTAAACACACCCATCGGAAGCCCGGGGCTCGGGAGTTGTTCTGGCAGGAGGGCAAGACCCGCGTGACCACGCGCTCCGAGAAGCCGCAGTCCCTGGCCTTTCCTGCCCGGGAGCTCGCGGGGCCGGCGCGTACCTCCACCCAGCACCCCGAGGGTGCTGCCCTCCAGTCCCGAGCCCCACTTACTGGCCGTGAACCCGGGCGGAGCGCCCTGCGGGAGAGCGGCGGGTGCGCAGGGCAGGGCTCCGAGCCCAAGGCCCCGCGGTCAACCCGGCCGCGCGGTGCGTGGCACACGGCGAGAGCCCAACGAGCTCCGGCCTCCAGCAGGAAAACAAACAAAAGGCTGCTGGCTTCTGGGGACGACCGGCCGCTTTCCCTGGGAAGAGCTGCAGCTCCCCTCGCTGGTCCAGCGCGGCCCTGCACCGTGGACGTCACTGGCCGGCCGATCAGCAGAGGGCGGCGCAGAGCACCGCAGGCTCCGGCGAGCCCACAGCCGCCTCGCCCCGTCCGCCGCCGCCCCGCCCACCCGCTGTCAAGAAGCTATTTCAAATCCCATTCTTCAATTGCAAAACTAATCTTTAAACTTCAAGTCACTTTTATCATTTTCTTCTGTTATAAATCCTTAGGGTTA